CCCCAGCTCCTGCCAACCTAGCAGTTCGAAAGCAAGAAATTGCAAGTAGATAAATAGGTACCACTTCGGTGGGAAGGTAACAGCGTTCCGCGCACCTCGGTGTTTAGTCATGCCGGCCACATGACCACGGAAATGTCTTCGGACAGCGCTGGCTCTTCAGCTTTGAAACGGAGATGAGCACCGTAACCCTAGAGTCGGATTCGACTGGCTTTCGAGCAAGGGAACCTTTACCTTTTAATGTGCAAACTACCTTACAAGATACTATGTAATGTATGCAATAACCTAATAAAGCTTAATTTAAAAAAAAATTCCCCCTGAGTGCTCCCTGAGTGCTCCCAGGAAGTCACTACAAGCGGCGTTTAAATCAAGCCTGGATTAAAACCCAAGGGCATCAACACTGTACTTGGCCGGCAGGGCAAGCGTTTATCAGCACTGCAGCTCAGTTCTTAGCACTTTCCCCTCACTTGTCCTCGCAAAAGGCTCAGTTTAGGGCCAAAAGCTCGAGGTGCCTTTTACACCCTGCACAGTTCGAAAACCGCTGATCAGCAGCTTTAAGAAGGTGTCGTTTTCACACGCAATCCAGAAGGCAATGCCGGAACGTGGAACATCCTAATTCTCCGATCCACAGTGCCTTCATAGTACTGATGCTTTTTGCTGCGTGTGAGACGTACCTGTAGGCTTGCAGCAGGAAAATCTTGTAAATGTTGATACAGACTGTCCTGAGACTGTTGATCTAAGAGTAAAGATTAAAAAAAAAAATAACGTTCACATATTATTTTGAAAGTTTATCCAACTAAATTATAAATCCCTCTAAGCTGTGGAGTCTTGTGAGCAAAAGTTCTACTATGTGAGCTACTGGCATGAAAGCTGTGAGCGGGCGATTTGGCTCCTGCATAAATTAGTTTGCTCTGGAGCCGTCCTTCCTGAGCTAAGACAAAAATGTGTGAGCCGGAGGCTAAAAAACTGTGAGCTAGCTCACACTAACTCAGCTTAGGGGGAACACTGGTGAGCGCTGCCCCAAAATGGCTGCCACAGGAAGCAAAGCCAAACAATACTTTGCAATAAAATCAGAGAAGGAGAATGAAAAGAGACAAACAAAGGAAAGGAGGGAGAAAGAGCAGGGGCAATAAAAAGGAAGGAAAGGCTTGGGGGCATGGAACCACAAACCTGGATTACTATACGGACAGGGGCCTGCATATATTTGTGATCGCCTCTTCCTGTTTGAGCTCCGCAGAACATTGCGTTCTAAAAACCAGCATCTCCTGGTAGTCCCTGGCCCTTAGTATGTCTGACTTGCCTCAACTAGGGGCCAGGTCCTTTTCGGCCCTGGCCCCCACCTGGTGGAATGAGCTCCCTTATGAGATCAGGGCCCTGCGGGACCTGTTACAGTTCCGCAGGGCCTGTAAGACGAAGCTCTTCCGCCAGGCCTTTAGTTGAGGGAGCGGGCATCCACCTGATATGGCCTCACCCCTCAGTGACCGCAGACTCTACATTGCCAGTATTAACATCATCTGCCGAGCAGTGTTCCCTCTAAGCTGAGTTAGTGTGAGCTAGCTCAGAGTTTTTTAGCCTCCAGCTCACACATTTTTGTCTCGGCTCAGGAAGGGTGGCTCCCGAGCAAACTAATTTACGCAATATCCAAATCGCTCGCTCACGACTTTAATGCCAGGAGCTCACAAAGTAGAATTTTTGCTCACAAGACTCCACAGCTTAGAGGGAACATTGCTGCCGAGGCATATTGTATATCCAGTACTGTATTGCTTATATGCTTTAATTTAAACTGATATGTTCTTAATTTTAATTGTAAATCTGCATTGTGGGCAGATCGGTTTGTCTGGAACCCACCCTGAGAGTGCGATGCGGGGAAGGCGCGATATAAGTATAATAAAATTGATTGAATGAATGAATGGTCTTCCTGATCTTCCAGTCATTGCTGTTCCTATTGCAGCCATTGATAAACCTTTCATTTCAATGAAGGCAAGCAATAGCAAGCCCTGCCTTTCTGAAAAGCTTGGTGGGGTACCAGGGCAAGTACTGGTGGATGCTGTGGCTTCCGCGGGCACCGTGTTGGGGAACCTTGTTTTGCAGGCTGAGATTTGGCTTCATGGTTTAAAATGTTTTGCCCGCTAAGTTTTTTCTCCAGGCCCACAATGGGTATTTTGCGTGGGCTTACCTGCAAATCCAAAAATAAGTGATGGCACTGCAGCTGCAGGACCACGAAGAGTTTATTCCTCATGTGCACCCCAGCTGCGCTGCTATAGCTGAAGGAGAGGCTTGCCCTGACGGACGTACAGGCATAACTGCAGGAGGTAAAGGGGGAGAAGGGAGAACTTCAGCAGTCCTCAATACAACAATCCAATCTCAACCCGTAAAAGCGTTTCCGACTACGAGCACAGCCTGCACTCAGCCAGGTTTCCCTGTCAACAATGTATTTGCCAGATGTGGCCTCCGGCTAGACGAAAGAGTTTTGAATGTCAAAACCTAGAGCAGATAAAACACCCTGCAATCAAAGGTCCTCCATTGGGTGAAAAAGTAGCATGCTTTCGCCCTACCGTATTTGGAACATCAGCATTGCACCCTACACTTACTTTTTTTTAAAACCAATATATTTTATTAAATTTTCAATTTTTAACAATGAAAGATTTTTAATCTTTAACCTCGTGATATTACAGCTGCTGGGTTATATTCCTGCACCAACGTTCTTTTTTTACTTACCTCAACTGTTATGTCGGTGTACTTGCCACTTTTATAAGTTGCTGTTCTTGTGCCATGTTCTCGCACTATATTCTGTGCATCTATGTTGTCGGCTGATGTTACATATTGTTGTTTTTTAATCTGCTGCACCCCTTACTTACTTTAAAAAATATACAGCGCTGATACACTTAGTGAGATAATAAAAACCAGCTGGCACCTATGGGGAAATCTAATCGCCCTGTCAATACTGGGTCATGTCTTGCTGACGGAAGCCGGGTGGTCCTGCCCAGTTCCCCTCCTCAGCAAAGCTCCCTGTCCTGCAATGCTTTCGGTCCGCAAGGGACTCCTGACACACAACAATACCTTTGGGAGGGGGCCCCAGTGGGCTGATAGGGGAAAGGGAAGGCAAGGGGGAAATCTAACCCCCCTAAAGAAAATATACAACACAACAGACCATCTTCATCAGCATGATCTGACAGTGCATATTAATTATCAGGGCTGTCAGCCAATTAGAGAACATTAAGTGAATCAATCGGCTAACCTTTAATTGGTTAATTGGCCTATTGCCAAAACCTTAAATGTGGGTGTCTTTTTAGGTGTCCAGTTATTTCCCTCTGAATAAAACCAGAGCAACCCAGTTACTGTGGGTTACATTCAATATTCCCTTTTATTTTTATTTATTACATTCCATTTATTAATCGCCTATCCCCCACAGTTGAGGGGCTCTAGGTGATGTTTTTTGTTGTTGTTCAGTCGCACAGTTCAGTCCGACTCTTCGTGGCCCCATGAACCAGATCACACCAGGCCTTCCAGTCTTCCGCCGTCCTCTGAAGTTGGCTCAATTTCATGTTCGTTGCATCTATGACACTGTCTAACCATCTCATCCTTTGCCGTCCCCATCTTCTTTGACCTTCAATCTTTCCCAGCATCAGGATCTTCTCCAATGAGTGCTCCCTTCTCATTTGGTGGCCAAAGTATTTGAGCTTCAGTTTCATTATTTGGTCTTCCAGGGAACAGTCAGGGTTGATTTCTTTTAGGATTGACTGATTTGATCTTCTTGCAGTCCAAGGGACTCTCAAGAGTCTTCTCCAGCACCAGAGTTCAAAAGAATCTATTCTTAGGTGATGTACAGAATTCTAAAACCATAAAAACACTAGTAAGGAATAGGGGTCCAGGTAGGGTGCCAGGCGTGATGTCAACCGTTGCTGTCCTCAACCAAAGGCTTGGCGGAACATCGCTGCCTTACAGGCCCTGCAGAACTGCGTAAGAGCCTGCAGGGCCCTGATGTTATTTGGCAGAGTTCCGCCAGAGTTCCCTATCTCGCTAGACTCAAAAATAGGTCTCAGAAAAATGCGCGTTCCTTATACTGACAGCTTGACTGAATGAAAATCTGAAATGTCTCCCAGAAATGACAGCAGGTAAACCCGCAGATTATTCCTACTCACCTGGAGTAATCACAATAAACTTCAAGGGTCTGGGTGTCAATTAACAAGCCACACCACGGGAACACAGTGTGAGCTGGTAACTGCTTGAACTCTGAGCAGCCTGGAATGTCGACGGCCTCATCCAGAGGAAAATTCGTCATTGTCTTGGCAGGATTTATTT